CCAGGCTGGCTGACCCGTCCAAGCAGGCAGCTGCAGTCTCCCGCAAAGGTAAACACCACTGAAACTATATTCTTGGCCACTACATGAGACAGCCATAATTGTTTCCCAGCTAACCACAGTTGTTCAGAGAGCCAACACAACCCCAAACATCACCGTTTTACAGCAGTTCCTAGGAGTGGGGAGATGAGGTAGTAGACAAACAGTTAATTTTGCATTGGCATGAAGTGGTACAGTCAGTCTTGGGCTTCTTCCTGCTTCTCTCACACTTCCATAGCCGTACACAAATATTGAATTCTCTTCAGAGCACAAAATACGATGTGCAATTAAACCACATCCAAGTTAAATACACAGAAATTAAAATACATTAAACATGGCACTTGCACCATAACTTTCAGGGGGAGATGGCTTTCACAAGCATACTTTTGCTGCACTGCCTCCCTGGCAAAGAGTACAAACTTAGGGGCAAGCACTTCCGTGACAGGGTGACACTGACTCTGCGGCAAAGCCCAGCTACTTCAGGAGCTCCACCAAACACATCCTGATTTAACATTCCTGGAAATGTCACAAGGGCAACTTCAGCTGCATTTTCAGATCTTTCTCTGAACAGTCATTATTTTTAACAGATTTCCCAGGGAGAGAAAAAAGAAATGTTCTGCCCTTGAATCCCACATACATCTCTTCAGGAAAATTTTCTTTTGCCAGAGAAAAAGAAGGGGAAACCCAAGGAGCAAACTAATTAGGGGATGTGAACACCACCTCAGCTGTATAGCAGATTTGCCTACTAGTACCCCATCTGTTCTTCATCTCTCCACAGCATTGTCAAGAGATTTGACCCACAAAAACAAAGCGAAAGTTCTGATTGTCCTTCTGTGGGCACTGGGTTCCTTCTGAAAGCCTGCTCTTTGAGAATTATTTCCTGGAAAAGGATTTGGACATTTTATTTTTAATGACTGCAACATATAGTTGATTCTCCTCTTTTTCTTCACTCCAGTCTCTGTCCACAGCCCTCCTGGGACCATAAGACTTCATGTACTTTCAGCTGATACCTCAACCACTTTCAGGGATGTATCGCATTTCTTCTACAAACCGTTCATGGTTTCTTTGTAAGTGTACACAGTTTTGGGATGAAGTAACTCCCTTGTATTAAGTTTCAAAATCTTGAAGCTATTGCATACTACAAGCCCTTTTGCAATCAGTAAGAATTATCCTGTTAATTACAAGTCATTCTCTTAATAGAAGATATTAAATATGAAGTCTGGGTATATTCTAATTTAACATCCATTAACCTGTTAGCCCAGGAACAGAGGCAGACAAATCACATCAAACTAGCTCATCTTTGAGAGGCCCAATGCCTTGATAGCCAAGAGGCAAATATACCCTTAACTATTGGCTCAAAAACCCCCACCCAAACCAACAAAAAACCCCCACAGAAGCAAGCAAAGAAACAGAGAAAACCCAATCCTTTTCTGCTCTCTTCCAACATTTCTCTCACCATGGCCGTGGATAGCCACAGTAGCAACACCAGGGCCAGTCTTACTGAGTCTAAACATTGATTCATACAGGACAAAAAGTTTTGGTATCCCTGCCGGCTGCCATCAAATTAGCGACAGCAGCCACAACACACGTCTTTAAAAATGAAAATAATCTGTTTTCATAGCTTGCTCCGTACAGACAAGGCCTTGCTCATTTTCCTACGCAGGTATAATCACCATGTAATAAATCCACACTGGAAAGACACAGTTTCTACCAACAAAGTGACACCTGGGGAAGCTCTGCCCTTGTTCCCCAGGGGAGGCAAGCGGCATGGGTGAAAGGGTGGGGTTTGCTGGTGCAACCTCTCACCTGGACAGCCGCACTGCAGCGGCGACAGGAAGGAACGTGGGTTTTCACACACTTAGTTAAGGGAGTTAAACTAGCAAAACATTTAGCAGGGCACAAGATTTATATATATATATATAAAACCACAAAACATCACCCTACAAGCCACCCGCTTGGCAAGCCGGCTGCAGAAGGCGGGGGGCCGCCGCCGGCCCCGCCCG